CAGATTATTCTCGACACTTTCTGGAAACTTTCAAGGAAATACCCGTGTTAAATTTTTGGTGAATAACTCTCAGTTGATGTTGTCATCTGAGGCTAGTTAATTGCGCTGGTTGGCCAAATTACAAAATGAAACTCTTGGCAGTTGGTTTATAATTGTGCTCTGCATGTTAATATGTAAAGATGCCTGGGAAGCAACACACCAGGCTTTTATTTTATTTTATTTTTGAGAAAAGTGGAAAACAACAAATACCAATGGAGATTTTGTCACCATAAATACCAATAAGAAACAGAAAAATGCATATTATAATAATAATAAAAAGGTTTAAATATTAAGATTAGAAAGCTGTAGTTTGATGTTTATTTAAAATAAATGTATAATTTCACAACCTAACCTAATATATAATAAGCTGACATTCCCAAACATTATATCGGATGCTGCATCATTTTTTCCTTAAGGGGGAGCAGTATGTATTTTTCAGGCAATTAGTTTAATTTTATAACACTATAAAGTAACTTCATTTGTAATGAAAATGCTGTATATATCAAAAATAAAATTGACTTTGCATCGTAGTTTATCTAAACACCTTGAAATTGGCCTCTGCCTCTTTAAGAACCTCCTACCATTTCTGACATTCCCACTTCAGCCCATTTTCAGAACAATGCTTTGAGGAATGGGTGCTCTGTGAGGGGTAAACTTGGCTACAGACTGAGCTCCAGGGAGGAGCTTTGTGTAAGTAGGCGGAGCTTTGTACCAGCAAGCGTTTAGGCAGCTCCACATGGCTACAGGAGATTCAAGGATTTCTTAAACACGCATGGATGAGCCAAAGCAACACTCTGGGTGTGTTTTTGATGAGGAAATGGCATTATTATATGATATAAAGCTAAAACAAAAAAAACTATTTTGAATAAAAGACCTAATTTTAAGAAAAACATTTTAACTTTAAAAATTAGCATGAAGCCTGAATTTGACAAAAAAGAGAAATTAAAAAATTCAATAAAGTATTACAGACAGTTGTTTACCTTGTGAAAGCTCCTGAAGAAGGCTGCCTTCTCATCGGGGTACTTTTCTAACCGTCTGGGTCCTTTACTGGAGGCCTTCTTGAACACCAGCCAACACCTCCTGAAGATCTGACAACAAAGAGTAATTGCAACATCGTTACCAAGGCACAGCTCGTCTAAAACGTGTAGGTGGCTGGAGAACTAGAAAACAGCAAAACACAGGCTGCACATCTATAGGGGGTTGACYTCAGGAAGAACAAAATAAAAGACCAGCAGAGATCAAATTAACATAGTTTGGAAAAAAAAMCTAAATAAAACAAATGTATTGCAGCAAATCTGAGGGMTTTTTCCATTCATCAAAAATAAAGATTGGGCCTAATAGTTCATTAATGTAGTTTATTATGGGAAAGCACTGACATACCATAAATTATACGGATTCTTCAGCTGATTAAATCTCTAAACTGATTTTGATGGAATGCTTTTCCATTTTGTACAGCGATCAGCAAAGGATGCTGGAAAGGAAATTAAACCTTCGTACATTAATCAAAAACCTCCACAAATATATTAGTTCAGAATTCAAACCCCAYCGTTCACAACGTCATGTTTGTGTCTGTGAGTGATGAGTCCGCATTAGTGCTTCATGAAAATATTTGGTCAAATTCAACTCCAATTACTCTTTGTTGGACTGTGTGGCCTCCTTTTAGTGGGTTGTTCAGACAATGCACTGTTGAATTGAAAACACAGCATATTTGTTCATGAGCAATTTTGTTTTTCTTTAGTGTGGTATGTAATTTAAGTGTCAATAAAATCTAATCTTCCCTCAGAAGTTGTTTACTCTTGAGATCAATGGAACATTTGGTTAGCAGTCCAAATTTCCATGTTGTCYTCAGAGTAATCAGTTTGTCTTGGTTTCATCAGAGGTTGACTGGTTACCATTTGCTTTAGAAGTCCCCAACATCATTCCTAAGGTTGGTGTGAATGGTGAATGGTAAAATAGCCTGAACTTTTACAGGTTTTAAGTCCAAGAACTCCGAAGCGCTTTACACCACTATTCAACCGCACTTTCACACAGTGATGGTGGTAAACTACCTATAGCCACAGCCGGCAGAGGTGAGGCTGCCATTACAACAGCACAATCAACCCCTCTGATCATCACCAGCAGGCAAGATGGGTAAAGTGTCTTCCTCAAGGACATAACATGAGACGGACAGAGAGGTTTAAAATAAAACCAGAAACCCACCAGTTACAGGACGAGCCGCGACCTCCTGTCTCCACTGATGCACCTCATGGTTTAGATATTTTTGTTCTCCATCGTACCCGATTCAAAATCAGGCCAAGTACGCTGAAGTCGATTATAGATAACATTTTTTAAGGAATTCAGATCTAAATGTATTTTTTTAGAGAAAACAATGTAAATAAGGCTTACAAAGTGTCCTGAAGTAGTTTGATTGCAAAGAAAAACAAAAAAAAACAAACGTAAGAAACCATTAACAGAAAAAAACACTATTGTGATTTATGGCTGCCACGATTAGTCAATTAGTCGACGACTAATCGATTTTTAAAATAATCGATGACTAATTTAATAATCGATTAATCGTTTTCTCTTTTATTTGTTCTTTACTTTGTTTTTCTCTCCAAATTGCTTTGACATCTTCCACTGCCACATCTGCCTTTCTGTCCTTGACACACATGCACAGCAGTGGTAACTGGGGTAGGCCGTGGACATCACAACACATTATACAGACAGGCTCTGATATCATGGCTACCTGGGAACAGAGCTCAAAAGTGTGGGATCATTTTAAGAAARHGAAAGAGAAACCTGTGCAATATCTGCAGAGCAGAACTTRCCTTCCACAGCAATTATTTTTAGTTAGCATATAGCTAAAATCTAAC